AGTGTCGGCCCTGAGGGACTCCTCCCAGGTCGAGTCTAAATCCTTCTGTCGCCAAAGGGCCGCCTTCGGGCGTGTCTTGGGCACCAGGCACGGCCCCACCTGGGGGCTCCCGGGCGTCCTCCCCCGGGTGTTGAGACAAATCGGCGAGGCCCTGCCTTCGCCCGCACCTGAGACGCGAGGTGCTGAACTGCGCCCAGAGGACGCGGGGGGGGAGGGGGGGGGCAGCCGACCAGCAGCCTTGTGACTGCACGGGCAGCAGGAGTGACAGCGATGGGGAAAGAGCCAGGGGACCAGCCGGTGCTGTACCCGCTCCGCCCCAGGCAGCAGGGCTCGCCAGGACACAGGCCCCCGAACCCCAGGAAGCAGGACACAGGCTTCAGGTTAGGGAACGCCGGAGGCCGGGCTGTGAGCAGTTCAGTGTGTTTATAACCACTGCCCGTTTCCCGATCCTCTGGCCACCGCGGGCGTGATCACCCCAGCAGGCCTCCCTAGTGGCCCAGAGTGGAACTGACTGTAAATAGCTCCCTGGGGTGGCCCGGCCCAGGTTACCCGGGCACCTGCCCGGAGCCGCATTCCCCATCCCGCACCCCGGGCGCTCCCCCGAGATCAGCACTCAGCGGCTTCTCTCCGCAGGGCTCCTTCGGTGGCCGCTGTCCCCTGTATGGCGTGGCGGCCTTGAACCGCCCCTCCCTGGGCTTATCCAGGGGCTCAGCCCCCTCCCTCTGCTATTTTGTGGCTGGGGCCTCTGGCCTCCTGGCCCTCTACTGTCTCCTGCTTCTGCTCTTCTGGGTCTACAGCAGCTGCATCGAGGACTCCCAAAGGTGACTCTCCCACTCCGAGGGCCAGGGGCAGGTGGGGGGAGTCCCGCCTCCACCACAAGGCTGTTCTCTCCCTCCTCATAGAGGCCGGATAGGGCTCCGCATTGCACTGGCCATCTCGGCTGTAGCCACCTTCCTGGTCTTAGTGTCGGCCTGTGTCCTTCGGTTTGGCACCAGTTCTCTCTGCAACTCCATCATCTCTCAGAACGCTACAATTAGGTAATGGGAGATGGGGGAAGCCTGACCCCTGGGGCCGACTTCCCTCTGCAGAGGGGGTCCTGTACTCCCGTTTCATCCCAGTTGATTATTCTCATCTCAAAGGGCGCTCAGGCGCAAGAGTATTTATTTGGGATATATCCCCCCCTTTCTCACAACTGTCTTTTTGACCTTACAGCTGCTCTGAAGCCCAGAAAATTCCATGGACACCCCCTGGAACAACCCGGCCGCTCTGCATTTTTACTCCAACCTACACAATGCTGAAGTGAGGTCTTGGGATATGAAGGACTGAGTGGAGGCCCAGGGATACGCAGATTCGTAGAGGCACCTGTATAGGTTTAGGGGTGCCCACCAGTGAGGCTGAGAAGAGCCGAAGGGCTTGGCCGCCTGGCAGCCAGCAGTTCAGAGCGGTGTGCGGGCGGAACCGGATTGAGGTGGCCGCTCCTCACACCTGTCCCTGTCTCCCACAGAACTCTTCCTGGGTCCATCTGGTACTGTGGTGTGTGGTCCTGGTGCTCCAGGTCGTGCAGTTGAAGTCTGAAGCCACCCCATACCGGCTTCTGGAGAGGGGGGACCCGGAATGGAGCTCTGAGACAGATGTCCTGGTGGGGCCACGCCTTTCCCCTTCCTGAAGAGCGAGCAAGCTGAGCGCTTCCTGCATCCATTGGCTCCCGGCCCAAGTGCCTGCAGTCCTCCTGCCCCTTGGCCCTGTGATGCTGAGCCTCAGTTCCCTCGAAGAGGGAAACATGAAGACAGCCCCCCTCCCTCTTCTTACAGCTGTTTTTGTACCAGAATATTATTATATGACTTCCTTCATCTTGGTGCCGAGTCCTTAGTATGAGAGCACTGTAGGCAGATGGATGGGAGGAGAGTAAAGGCTAAACAGGTCAAGAGTACATTCAGGTGTCTGCCCTCGGAATGACTTTTACTTGCTGCTATGTAATCTTGGGTCCCCTTGTATTACTCTGGTTGCCACCCCACCCCTAGGGTTCAGTTGTGTGTTTTTTTAATTATCACCTGAGGATTTGTTTTTACTGATTTTAGAGAAAGGGCAAGGGAGAGAAACATCAATGAGAGAAATATCCATTCCCTCCCATGTGCACCCCAACCTGGGATAGAACTCACACTTGGGTATGTGCTGACTAGAATCGAACCCAAGATCCTTCCCTTTTTAAAAATATATCTTTATTGATTTCATTTCAGAGAGGAAGGGAGAGAGAAACATCAACGATGAGAATCATTGATCGGCTGCCTCCTGCATGATCTGGGATAGAGCCTGCAACCCGGACATATGCCCTGATGGGGAACTGAACTGTGACCTCCTGGTTCATAGGTTGATGCTTAACCACTGAGCCACCGGCGCGCCCAAGATCTTTCCATGCACTGGACCAATGCTGCAACCGAGCCACACTGGCAGGGCCTAATGGTGGTTTTTGTTCCCCTCCTGGAGGGTGCGTGTCCCCAGGGGCTTTTTCACAAGCTACGGTAGGCACCCACAGTGTTGTCAAAGAGTTTTGTGTTAGGGAAATAGCCAGCTTTGTCCAAGAGGAAGTAGAAGCGTCGGCCTTTGACCTTTAGAGGCACCATGGCAGGGACTTCTCCCCGGTGGGCCATGCAGGATACCTGGTTCAAGGGAACAGTGAACTGCGCTCCCAAGCCAAAGGGGGCGTGAGTGGTGAGGGTCACCCGCTTCCCTCCAGCCTGCAGAATCACCGACCGCACAGAGCGCAGGGAGAAGAGGAGTCCAGCGGCAAGGACCAGGGTACCTGCAGGGAGGAGCGGAGTGGGGTGAAGGGTTTCCGGGCGCGCCAGCAGCAGCCCTCGTGCCCTCCGAGTAAAAGACGTAACATTTACCGACCCCAGATCCTTGGTTACTCATTCCTCCCAACATTACTTAATAGATGCCCAGCCCATTTTAAGGAGAAAACAGGTCCGGGCCGCAGTAACTTGCTCGAGATCGCACAGCGAGTGGCGGCCTCAGCCTAGGCCTGTCTGTCCCAGGGCTCGGTGCTCGGACCTCCGCCTCCGGTGTCCCTCACTTCTAATGAGGGCGGCCTGCCCCCCGCCCCGCACATCCTGGAGGGTCGGGCCCAGCTCCTCGGTGGGCAGGCAGCC